TTTTTAAACGGTAACTGTAACGGAATACAGTTACTCATATTTTGTATTTTAAATACGTAACAGCGGTACATGTATTCCGTTACTCCCCAACACTGAGTGTACCCATCATCTGATGGCTGCTTCCATCAAAATAAACCTTCATGTCTCAAAGCTCAAATCATCTCCAAGTGGTTTCTTCGACATGACAATAAATTCACTTTGCAAATGCCAAATGTCGCCACATGTCAATCCAACAGTGCACCTTTCGGATGTGGTGAATGGGAGGTTCACATCAGGAATGTGCAGCTGACAAATGTACAGCAACTGCGAGATGCCGTCATGTTAAAACGGATCAAAGTCTCTGAGGAATGTTTGAGGAACCTTATTCAAACTATGCCACAAAGGATTAATGCAGTTCTAAAGGCAAACGGGGGTCTAACACAAGTCTAACCTGGTAACCAGTGTGCTTAATAAAGTATATAATAATAATAATATAAGCCTGAAACAAAATAAGTATATTGTCTTGTCTTGTAACTTATTACAGGACACTGCAAAAGTATTAGAAATGTGCTTCTTACCCATAAAATAAAGATTCTAGACAAACGCCTCAACCTTAGTGAACTCAGTTGCAATACTTCATGCAAGAAGTTCTTTCATTTACATGCACTAGTAACAGTTAAAGGGGAAAAACCTTGAGTTTGTCTGATTCTGTGTGCCTGAGAAGAGAGCAGAGATTTGGTGTGCGCTTGAGAGGCCCGAGCTGAGTGCATACCTGAACGATGTTGTTAGGTTGTGTATGTCAAATGGCTGAAATTGCTAAAATAGTGAGCTTGTTTTCCTACCTGCTGTTACTGTGTCAAGTGTGTTTTTCGCCAGTGGGGATTATTTCAAGCGCACAGAGTGTTTTCAGTGTCACGGCTCAGACAATCTGAGTGTAGTCTTTTCAGGCTGGGGCTGGATTGCTGGTGGTCGTTGTGAGCCATACAAATTTAAGCAAATGAAGCACAAGGGTTTCAAGCTGAACTTCTTGACCTTAAAAAAATTGATTGTTTTAAAATGAAAATTATAATCAGTAAGGGCAAAGAAAGGTTTGTGGTCATCCCTAAATTATGGGACTGTCATAGCTCATATTAAAAGTCCCCACCATGGTCTTTTCTGTTATTCCTTGAATTAGGTTTGGCTGTTGCCCTTATGATTTTGAATCTTTTTCTCATGTGAATGCTTTCAGAGTTTTCCCTGTCTGAGCCTGTGTGTATTTTGTTCTGCAAGTATTGTTTTTTTGTCCTTCTTTCTTTTACTTGCCCTTTTTGTTTTCCTCATGTTGCTTTATGTGTTTTCAATTTCTTTTTCCACCCTGATTTGATTGATTTCACCTGTGTCTTATTATCCCTCTCCCTAGTCCGTATAGGCGTTGTTACATCTCTCGCCTGTTCTCGAGACTCTCTTGTTTTCTGCTGCCTCCCTGTGTTTTGGATTGTTCCTGTTGGGTTTTGGATTCCTTTCATTTGAGTTTTTCCATCAGACTGCACACTGCTTTTGGTTGTCTATGAGTTCTAGATTAAGGTTTTTAGTTTATCCATCCACTTGCCAGTGCCTGCTGTGTCTGCTTATTGGATTCTCTTGTGAACATTTCAAAGTATGGGACAGTTTGAGCTTTATTTTGAAAAACAAATTCCGAGAGCCGAAGCAAAAATGGCTTGGATGTGCTCTGAGGAGGCGTAGTGGACATGTTGGACACGTGACAGGACCACAGAGGAGGTTTATGGATGCAGTGGAGGAGGACATGCTGAAGATGGCGAGACAGACGATGAATCATCCACATTTTCATCTATAGATGTGATGGCTTATTGTTGCATTGCAAAACCAAGAAAGTTAAACTGTGCTCTTATTCACACTGTCAAAATTATTATAGAAGAACTAGAATTATATGTGACATACATATTTTTTCTACCCCTGAAAAAGGGCCCATCTTCCAATCTGAAACATCCATGTGGTGGAGGGTGACATTTTTATTTTTATCCCAGTCTGCCGCTGACACAGAGTCATGCATTTTCCAGAATCCACTGGGCTGACATTCAAGGCTCAATTTTTGCAATTCTATAAATGAGACTCCAACTCTGTCTTCACAGAAAAGCCGTGAAAGCAACACTAGTCTTGCTACCTCTGCTCGGCATCACCTACATGCTCTTCTTTGTGAATCCGGGGGAGGATGACATCTCGCAAATTGTGTTCATCTATTTCAACTCCTTTTTACAGTCTTTTCAGGTGAGATTATGATTAATAATACAGTGTGACAGTGGCCAGAGTTTGAAAGCCCACACTCACTGCCCACAAAGTTAAAAATATGAATCATTCTGATTTCTTAATGTGTTTTTATCTCAGAGTTGTATCGCTACTTTAAAGAGTGACTTTTCAGGTTCTAAGGCTTCTTGTGGGAAGATGATTTGAAGTAGCATCCTGGCTGCGCTTACACACAACATGGCCCTCCTACCTCATGTTCAGTGCTCTCAGCTGTCAGGAATAACAGAGCCATGTGGGCATGATTTCTGCTCTGTGGCTATTTTTTTATTTATTTATTTATCTCCTGTGCTTAAATGTAGGGCTGAGTAGGGGAAGGGGGGTTCGAATAGAGCTTTGGAAATTTGTTTTGCCTTTTCTTTATAATGATTGCGTCTAATTACAGTGTCATTACATAATACAGGCACATTTTCAGCTTCTAATTCTAATGTGTCTTATTTTGCAGGGGTTCTTTGTGTCAGTGTTTTACTGCTTTCTAAACGGAGAGGTGAGTCACTGGAGTTTAGCAAAACACCCGTTATTTATGATGTTAATTTTACTGTCAATGTCTTTGGGTTTTTTTCTTTGATACACAAGCTTAATAAAACCATAAATTGATAGCCTTAATTAGTTTTAATATTGTTTTTCTAACTTGCCTCCAAGTTAACATTTTTATGTTCAACCAGGGGGAGGATCAAGAAGCCGTAATAGAAAAGAAAATGCCAAAGAGTTTCCGTGCAGTCAGTGAAATAACAGCATAGAAAACTGTTATGAGGCTGTCTCATTTTTGCCTGATTGAAATAAAAGCGAATTACCAAAACTCCAGCTGGTTAAAAGTCATTAACGCCATTATGATTACACATAAATTGTGATGAATTGTGATAGAAAAAAAATGAAGGACTCTCTTCCTGCGCGCTCTCATCCCTCAAATTATTGAAACTCGGGGGTAAAGAGTTTGTTAATTTAATGACGTGATGTGAAGAAATTGAGTCATCCTATTTTAACAGATATTAATTGCAATTTAAGACTCTGAGTGGCAAACAACAAAACAAAAAAAGCAATTGTGTGACTTTAGGCCACATTACAAACGACTGCTGGAAAGCGATCCTTATTTAAAAAATGAAAAATTAGGAGGGTTGACTTAACTATTGCTATTTATTATATGATTTTGCTAGTATAGTGCATAAAAACCACATAGCCCAGCTCTGTTACAGCTTGTTGTTTTCAGATTTTGGTTTTTGTCCATATGGACATTCTGGCTTCCTGTTCTTCTTTGTCTGGCTTTAGTATCATTTTTAGAAAAAGAAATAGTGCATAAATATGTACAACACTTTTCAAACCACAGTTACAAAATGCTCCACTAATATAAAACAAAATACAAAATGACAAATACCACAAATATAGAAATGTCATTAAAACTTACGCTCCCTTTTTATGTGAGCTGTCAGGGTGAGTGTGACACTTTAATATAACCCCTGATTTGGCTTCATTAGCTGGAAGGAAATTTGGAGCTATCCAGCGTTTTATTGCTGAAAGACAGACAGGGATCTGAGAATGGTCAGTATAGTTTATATATCATCTGACATAAATAGAGCTTAACACAAGTAGAATCAAGACTAATGAGAGACTAATAAATCTATTTGCAGGACTCAAACTGAAATTGATTCAATTAGCTACTGACGTGGTTCATAAGACAAAAATATCCAGTACCTGGGGATCCAATTATTAATTTCTTCTGCAGTGGTCAAAGTCAAACCGTGTTATGTTTACTACTGTCAGTTATCTAGACACAGAACAAGTGTTAATTGAAAGAATTTGTGTCAAAGTCAAAACATCCTTTTTCTGTCATAACGCTGTTATGACAGAAAGGCAGGCAGGAATAGGACCCAAAAACGCAGAACTCAAATGCAGGGCTGAACTCACTTTACTGCTGGATTCAGAAACTAAGCTAACTGAAAAACTAAACAAAACTAAACTGGAATGACACTGAGAAACTAAACAGCCAGAATACACAGCCAGAGGAATGAGGGAGATCAAGAAGAGGCAGGAGGAGACACAGGCATATATACACCAGGAATAAGGGCAGAGAGGAAACACCTGGGAAACACGGCTGGACATAATTTAACTGACGAGACAGGGGAACCAAAACTGAACAAGATGCACACAGGACAAGAGACTGTCAGAATAAAACAAGAAACATGAGAAACATGCACTGAGCCGCAGACTGACTGAATACAGGGTACAGAAGGAGGAGAAAGAGACGAGTAGGTAGACACAGACAGGGGGCAAGAGAGCGAGAGCAACCAGACAGACGCACAGAGACATGACTGGGAAACAGGCGAATAAACATGGAGACAAGAGAGACTTCACAGGGAGGCACAAATAACTAACACAGGAGATTCTGGGGAGGACACACGCAGACCGAGACAAACGGGACACGAAAGGGAACAAAACTTGATGAACGAAGAAATAACCCCAGGGCTCTCAAACTGAACATAACAATCACAAATACTCCATGAAGAAAGAACAAGAGCAAACAATGCAAAACAAAATGTCTCATGAAGCCAAACAAACTCAAAACACTAGGTCAACGACCCAGGTCCATGACAGTTTCAGATACTGGGTCAATTATAGACCGGCTAACATTGAAATCAAATGAAACATTACGTCCTTCAAGTCTAAAGGGTGCATTTATTTATATAGTGAGGCATAGTGTTAGCATGTTTAGTAGGAAATTTGAAGCTTGGACTTAAAGCAGGGGTGTCCAACTCCAGGCCTGAAGGGACGGTGTCCTGCAGGTTTTAGATGTGTCCTTGATCCAACACAGCAGATTTAAATGGCTAAATTACCTCCTCAACATGTCTTGAAGTTCTCCAGAGGCCTGGTAATTAACTAATCATTTGATTCAGGTGTTTTGACCCAGGGTGAGATCTAAAACCTGCAGGCCCTTCAGGCCTGGAGTTGGACACCCCTGACTTAAAGGTATACTGATTGAGTTGATTCTCTTGAGTTGAGGTAACATGGTTGTAATTTTGTAGCAAGGATTTTGCTTTTTGGGACTTTTGGATTAATATTGATGTTATCTGGAATTTTTGAGGCTCTTTAGTCAAAGATCTTGAATTGATCAAAGCAATCAGAAACACTGAGGCATATACATTGTGATGGAAAGGAAGATTCCTGAATAAAACTCTGTTGGAGGATTTCACAATGACAGGGACTGCATTTTCTGCTCTTAACCCAAATGAATCAATTAGATGCTTTCTGGCAGACAAACCATGAAACACTTGAGGGAAGATGACCAACTTTAATAATTGACCGAAGCGTTTGTGTGCTTGTGTGGCCTTCATCAGGGTCATGATGAAGGCCACACAAAAAAAAAAGAAATCTATTGCTTTGTTACAAAAAGTAATAATCAAAGCTGTCTTCAAAAGAGCTATTGGGAGTCTGAGATGGGACTCTCGATTGAGCTGATAGTGAAGCCAAAATGCTGTGTAACTCTTCACAAGTGAAGTAGACGTATAACTTCTGAGAAAGAAACCTTTTTTTTCCAGGGCAAAGTTGCCAGGCCTTTTAAGCAGTTTCACTCAATGATTTGATGCATGCAATTTTTATGTTCTGGGGGACCATTGAAATTCCCATTCTTTTAAATGGGGTCTTTAAAATAAGTGCCCAAATAACTGCCTAAAAGTGTTAAGAAGATGTCAAGTCCTAGCAAGTGGCAGGACTTGCATCAAAGAACATTGACTGCAGTCATTAAAATTAATGTGAGTGTGGGAAACTTTGTACCTGACTTGGATTCAAAGGACTGAATACGGACACGTGGAGGTGGATGACTCAGCAGACACAGAAATTAGGTTTTGTGGCCAAATATGCTGAAATCACCGTTTATTTGATTTTAAAATATGACGCCAGATCATGGTGGAAGGTTGTGAAGGTGACTTTTATTAAGAATCACATTCAGAAAATTTTAATAAAAGAAAAACCTATAAATCGAGGCAAAAGGACAACAGACGGGGAGTATAACGATTATGTCACGTTTGATCGTAATCGAGAGGAAACAGAAATTAAATCAGTAAAATAATAGGGTTTAATTTATACATAAAGACACACATTGTGGGAACAGAGCCCTTTAAATTATTGGCAAAAAAGTTATATTTTTTTAATATAACATTTTTACCTGAATATTATTTTTCATTAGTTAGTTGATTAGTTAATGTGTTTACGGTCTCATAGTCTAGCGTTAAAGTCACACATTTACAGTCATGAGAAAATCAGAGTTTTAACAGGACTCATAATAATCTCGTTAAAAACTTAGCACACCCTTACTGCTTCCACAGGAATGAAGTGGGTATTGTAAGTAGCAGCCAGGTGCTGCTAATCAAATGCACTCGATCAGCTGCTCATCAACAAGTGTGACAACCTCTATGGTGACAGAAACAGCAAAAAATCCAAGAACCACATCGCAGACTCTACAGGGTTGAGTTAGCATGTTAAGTGTTAAAGTTCACGAGAGTATAATTAGAAGAAAAACGAGCAAGCGTGGTTTGTTTAAAAGGGTTGTCATGAGAAAGCATCTCCAAAATCACATGGCAGGAAGGCTTAGGTTTGCAAAGTTGCAACTGAACAAACCACAGAACGTCTGGAACAATGTTCTTTGGACATGTGAGGCCAAAGTAGGGATGTTTCGCCATAAAGCACAGTATGTGTGGAGGAACCCAAACACAGCAAATCAGCACAAACACCTGAGACCAACTGTCAGCACCTTGTTGGAGGGCTGATGATTTCGGCTGTTTTTTGCTGTTACAGGACCTGGGTACCTTGCAGTCACTGAGTCGACCACAAACTCCTCTGTATACCAGAGTACTCTTTCAAATGTGAAGCCATTTGTCCAATAGCTAAATCAGCAGCAAATCTAGAACAGAATCTGAAAAAGAAAAGAGTCAAAGTGTTATAATGCCAAAGTCAAGACCTAAACCTGAACTAAATAATGGAGTTTCACAGGACTGCACAGAATCTTCTAAAACAATTATTTATTCACATGGCTCTATCTTTACATTAAACAATTAAAACGACTTCCCAAAATGTTGTATAATATCTTAAAAAATAATTTGAAGTTTATTGTAATATTCTTTTATTCTCTATATATCTTGTTATTAGGATTGTTAACACACCGGTATCCTCATCGTTGTAGGTTCGCTCAGCAGTAAGAAAACGGTGGCACCGCTGGCAGGACAACCACACTCTTCGAGTTCGAGTGGCGCGAGCCATGTCTATCCCGACCTCACCGACCAGGATCAGCTTCCACAGCATCAAACAGACCACAGCCGTGTGACCACAGAAACACGCAATCTCCATACTGATTCCTCCAGCAAGGTCGCTGTTTGTCCGGTATGACTAAGGAGTCATGCGATTTATTTTGCCTGGTGACAAAAGTTCATTTTAACTGCACAAAAATGACATGAAGCTCTCGTTATAAGGTACCGTTTGTGACGTGGATGGGCTTGGTTTTTCGAAACAACGAAATGGTTCAATCGTCACATTACAGCAGGTTTGACCCTATAATTTTAGTGTTGTTACTGGTTATGAGTACTTGAAATTTGACTGACCTTGACGCATTCATATGTTGCCAAAACTGCCATTTGTATCTATTATGATAAAAATGCTAAGCTGCTCTTTGAATTACCTGCTCTTTATCAGCAGCTTAATTTGACAGAAAGAAGCTTTTTGGGGAGGAAGAAAACAGAAAACAGCACAGAGTAAAAAAAAAATAAATAAAAAATGAGTCATAACACTCTGAAGTGAAAACAATTTAACGTAGAGTCATCAACTGCTTTTTTTTTTAACTAAAACACAATCTCAACACATGATGTTTTGGTTAATGTGAGATGCGGCTATTTTATACAAACAAACCATTTTAAGAAGCTTTTATAATGTGTCTTTTTTAAAATCATTTTTCTTCTTTCTTTTTTTTACATCTTTCTTACTGTTGTAAACATTGGTAAATACTTTTTTCACTCTCTTTGTTCTGAGGATTTGATTTTACAACTATTTCTATTTCCTTTTGTTAGACTTGGTCTTATTTTTTTGTTGCTTTTTTTTACTGTGCAAGGAAGGTGTCGACATAAAGAGCAATTTAACGTGTTATGTGTTTGAACTCCCCGAGAGCGATAAATGAGCGTTCCCGACTTAGAGTTCTCTTGCAGACGAGGAAAGGTATGATTATATATACATTATTTTATGGAGCCAAGTGATTCTCATTTATGTAATCTGTTAAGTGCTGCACATGGATTTGTCATGCAGGCACAGTGGAAGCAGATTAAATTCTTTTGGCTTTATGAAATCCTTGTGGCTTCCTTATAATCAGTGTCACATACTAAGCTTCTGGGTCAAAGGAAGAGGAGCTTGACAATATGAGGACCGATCGGTTTCCTAAACCGTTGCTCTGGTGAGATCAACCTTCTGCTTGCCTGTAACCCCGGCTCTTACACCTCCTAAGGCTGCTCACCCAATAGTAATTTAAACAGCCATGTATGGACAGATAATAATAAGGGAGGGAATGTTTGTTATGAAAAGGTTTATCGATCAATTACAGCAAGCTTACATTTTGATGCACATATTCCCTACTGTGTTGATAGATTAGCTACACATCTGTTAAATAAAAACTGTCTGACATTTGATGGGTGGCAAAATCAGCACCACTCATTTCTGTTTGATGTGTGTTTTGTGTGGATTTAACACTAACGCTTAATACTGTGATTGAGCTCTAGAGGGGTCATTAAGAAGATTTCGTAAGCTTCGGACAGAAAGTGGATGACCTTCCCATGTTTTATTTATTTATTAAGTTTATGTATTTATTTCAGATTATATTTGAATTGATATCGGGGTTTGTATTTAAAAGTGTCACATAAAACATCCAGAATTTATTTCACTCATGTGAAGATGGTGTACATAACACAAAATATTTAATCACATCTTGATGTAAAAAAAAAAAGAAGTATTTTGTAAACGTTTGCTACATTACAACATCTGTTTCTGTTGATCTTAGTTCATTTTTGCTGTTGCTGCTTGATGACGCTTGATGTTTGCTGGTAAATACTGATCACCTCTCATTATTTACCCATTAATATATAACTCTGATCAAGGGCGTCATAATTTAGCCATGACATTGCGCACCCTCCCAAGACTTCAGTATGTTACATACATACAAAGTGTACCACATTACATTACAACTGTGACGTATTTTCATAAAGAAACTTTTTTTAAACAAATGTGAATAAAATATAAATAAAACTATATTTTATTTGAAATCACCAAAGAGAGAAACCATGTTTACTGACATACTGACTTTTTAACTGCCTATGTATTTCTATTATTTCCACTGGACTTTGTCGACCAAATCTTGTTTATTTTGTACATCGTTTATTGTACATGATGTGTATTCAGTGCTGTTTGATGTCAGACATAATTTTATAAAAAAAATCAAACTCTTTGTTGAACAACCCAGGTTGCCTTATGAACAAAAGAAAAAAAAAGTTTTGTGAAAATGAAGCCGTTGTCTCTGTTAATCATGTATCTTTGTGTTACTTGTATACACTTGGACTGTATGTGTGAAAAAAGGATTTTGATTAAAATTGTACTTTAAATTATATAACACACTATATATTTTGGAGGGGGGCATTTCAGTGCATTGGGTCCATACAGTTTGAAAATCTTACAAAAGCCACAGATTGCACTAATAGAATCTGTTCAGCTGATTCATTTGCTGTGTATCTCCCTCACCTCCAGGCACTTTATAAAATAAATACAGCAGTTTTATAATGATCCAATCTCATATTTATTCTTCTGATAGACTGAACGACTGCTACTTCACTGGCATTTGCTGATCTGAAATTGTAGTTTTTACTCACAGAATGGAAGACACACTCAGAGAGCACTTGCTAGACACTGTTTCATACACTTCAGGCTTGAGTGGAGTGAAATGGAGCAGAAACTACAGCCTATTCCCAGAACCCTCAGGATTCGAGTTATACATCCCCAAACAACAAACATACTCTGATGTAGCCCAATCAAGCCTTATTGTGACAGTTAATGTTTCTAATGGTTTCCAGCATTGCAAAACATAGACAATGCTATCAGATTCTTCTGTATCATGCCAGACGTGTGCAGCACATCTGCACAGCATCATGGATTATTTGCCCTGAACTCCCATGTGTCTGCATTAAACTGCATTCCACATTGCATCAACTGAAAATAAATAACCAGCATGACAACAAAAGGCTGCCACTAAGCCTCAAATTTCAAAATAAACCCATCTGTAATGTAATATTTATATCTTAAGCTCAGATAAACTAATAAATGACCTCGCTTAATGAAGTATCTCCCATCACTTAATTATTGCTGCTTTAAGCCAAAACTCTCATGCAAAGGTCACCCTGCTGATTTTATACATAAAGGTAAGTTAATAGCAATTCCCACAGGCAGCATCCTTCAGCCTGTGAAAATGTCAATTATGGTTGTAAAGGAACTTTATTAAGTTTGAGTTTTCAACTTCAGACTTCAAGACTACACATTTCTAAAAGAAGGTATGCATCACATGTGCACGTAGAGGGTGGAGTAAACCTTAAAAACACATTTACCAGACTGGTGGGGCTAAGAAAACAATGTTTTTGGTGGTATTTGCCTTCAAGGTTTTCTGGCAGAGAAATTCTCAACATTGTAGCGAGAGGATATATTTTAATCCAATCCCTAATATTATTCTAAGCCTTACCAAGTAGTTTTGTTGCTTAAAAATAACCAACAGCACCTGGAAACTGAAAACATTACAAAAGAAATTAAAGCTCTCTGTCAATAAACCTTGAAGTGAAACTACTCCCACTGGCAGTTGCTCACATCTTCACCACTGGCAAAACAGTTCTTACTGGTTGACTTGAATGAGTCAGAACTACTGTGCCAGCACATTAATGTCTTCAGCCACACCGGATTTATAGCTCTGCTTTAATGTTACCTCATGATGATGGGCCTAATCAGCATTGAGTCAACTCAGTTAGCAAGAGGTTTAATGTAAATGATGCTCTCTGGCTTTAAAACTCTTGATCTTAAAAACGAATTTGACACAACAGAATAAGCGTCTCTTTCTTTTTTTTCTTTTCTGGAGAAGCACCATGCTTACAATTACACAGGTAACAGGCAATTCAAAGTAAATCAGGACTTTTTAAACATGAATACTTGATTTTTCCTTAAGGGTAAGCCTTAAGGGTGAATGGCATTAAAATATATAAACTGTTTTCTTCCAGGAGTTTTGTTATTATACGGAATTAATGTGGAAATTATTCCAATATGATGCTGTCAGTTTACTAAATTACTCAAACCATACAGTCAATATGTCCCAGCAACTATAAACTGGTGCCAGCCTAGCCGTCTGGTGGAAAATTGGCTGTATAATAGGTAAATATACTATATAGCCTGAAGCGGCTGGATGAGGAAAGCAGACTGAAAAAGATTATGCGGCATGATGAAGGTCAGCAGAACAGTGAAAAAGAAGTGCTTGAAAAGCTATTTAAGGTGAAGGATAATGCCATCGAGGAACGGTGAACTTGTTTCGAAATGAGTTAATCGCAAAATGGGATAGTCTTTACTGTAATGTCAAGATACAAGCGAAAAATCAAAGAAATTTCTTTTTTATATTCAGATTTCAGACTTATGTTGAAATATGTTGTTTGTTTTTCAGCAATATCAGGAAAAAAATGTAGGCGTAGCATGTTTGTATTTGTAGCCTCAGGCCTCAGGTAACAAACGAATGTAGTAAGTGGGTCCTTTTCAACTCATTCACAACTAGACATTATTTATACCCCACAGGTATAAATAATGTCTAAGACTGTGATTCATTTAATTGAATGGTGCAGGCATAAAGCTTTGAATATTTTACTCTTATTATTGCATAGGTCCATAGAGCACCTGTTCAACCTAATCTACAACATGACAATGACGATACTGTTCAGAAATCTGAGCGCTTTTGTTCCTCTTGGGGAAATAAAAGGAAGATCCTTGTACAGGGTTGATGTCGTTAAGCTTGTATGAACTTTACCACCAAAATAGTATTTAAGCAGTACTACATAACAATGCTCACAAACAGCGAACATTTTATCAGTTATGGTAAATTGGCTCATTATGGGTCTTACTAGAGGCGTGGGTTTACACGCTGATTAACGAGCATTATAAAACTAACCCTGCCATTGGATAAAATGCCAACAAGAATTTAAATGACTTTCCGTAATGTGGGACTAGCAGGATGGATAGGCTGTGGCACCTTAATGTCCTTCATTTGTATATTTGTAGCAGGGCTGGAGGTGAAGAATGGCATGTTGTTTTTCATTCGTCAGTGTTTACAGAATCCCCACATTTACCGCATGTGAGACATTTTTTGAGCAACAGCTCCCTCTCTTGGCTGATTAAGGAAAGTACTATTCTTTCAAAAATTCCTGTGATTGACACTGTAGTAAGTGCTACTGCCCTATATTAGGTTTAATACAGACTTTAAATGTCAGTATTTATTTCTTTACTCTAAAGATGCTTTTCTCTTGGGGAATGACTTTGACAAAATAAAATACATTTTGAGAAACGTAATTTAGGTATAACATTTTTAGAAGAAGTAATTGAATCAAATATATGCTCATTTACAGCAAACTACAGAGATTTTATACAGTTTCCTATTTTAATTGTTGTCCTGTTGCTATCTTGAGAATAACAAACAGGACACTCTATTGATTTGTCTGTTAGTGTAGCTTCTTTTATTCATGAGGGGTCACCACAGTGGATGGTTCCACATTTTTTAATCAGCATTTTTTTTCTCAAACCAGTGAGCTTTTAGATTTAGCTAATGTGCTAACTACTACACCATGGAGTCACTGATTTGCTTCTTAATGCACTATATTATATATTATGACTCAATCTGAAGCAAAATGAACTGCCTTATGTGAAAGGCGCAGACAATAACACACATTTCTGCGTTCGTTTTTGAAAAATCGAGTACAGCCACAATGAGTGTTTTTATTTACCATGCTCTACAAAATAAACAGGGGCAATGTGCAGTGTGTGCACAGCATTAACATCAGGGGCCTTAGAAAAAAAATAAAACTGAAATATTGAGGAGTTATGCTGTAGATCAATCCAAGATGCATGGAAATGAAAAATATACAAGATGAGATGTACAGAAATCTTTTGCGGTCAAGAATTCACAATGAAGGAGAGACAAACTCATTACTCACTCATATTGATTTCATTATGTACTGCGATGTAGCACCAGAATGACAATGAGGCTGAAAGAAACATCGGCCCCTCTTAAGATGCCATAATGTATTTAACAAAAGCTTCATAATTTATGCACCCATTAGCATCCTCTTGGTTTTGCATTAGCTGCTCCACCTCGTCCTCCCTCATCTTCTCACCTATAATCCCCAAAGAAGAACGCAGGAAAGTCAGTTCAGCACATTTTCTTATGATGACAGCTTCATGAATTAAAGCTGTTAATTAACTCACCCAGTGTTGCCAAAACGTGTCTGAGTTCTGCACCCATGACCGTGCCGTTCCCCTCCTTGTCAAACACCCGGAGGCCCTCTACAAAGTCCTCAAATGTTCCACGGTCCTTGGCTTTGCAGATGTGTTGGTGGATGGGTAGAAACTGGTCAAAGTCCAGCATCTTGGTATTCATATCTGCAGAAAATAATGAAAGTGTAACAAATAAAGCACAAAAAGAAAGAAAGAAAGAAAGAAAGAAAGAAAGACGTAATTCCTTTGTAGTGGTGAACTTTATTTAGTCCGATATTATACAGATTCTTGAACTACATCCAGCTCCAACTCTTAACAACAGCAATGACTCAGTTTGCACACTTGTCTCATTACTAACCTTCAGCTTTGGGCTTTCCAAGCACGTACATTATCTCTGTATTTGTGGGATTCTGGCCCAAAGCTCTTATTAGGTCACCACACTGGGCATAAGTGATTTTCATCTCACTGGTTGGGGTCCTGTCAAACAGCTGGAAAGCATCTTTGAAGTCTGTGAATGAAAAGAAAGCGCATTATTCCTTTTGATTTCTCATCTTGTTATTGTAATCTAAGAGAACATGCAAAGTCTTTGCAAAAAGGCATCACATGCTCTCTGTTTGTGTAACGATCAACAGCATAATTGCACGCCTCACATAAAAGAGCCCACCGCTAATGAAAGAGTCAAACCCTCAGATGTTCCTCTCTACCTAGACTGACATGCATCTTAAAGCCTTTTCAAAGCGACTGACACAGATGGATGTTTATTTTAATATAATAGCGTATGCTGGCTCTAGTGTATCACCAGCTGCTGCCGAACATCTCTCACACACTTATGGGTGGCATGATCACACAAACAATTTATTCACTCTATAAATAACTCACAATCCATGCAACCCAGAAGACAACATGTAACAGCCGCCTGAGCCTTACCCTCAAGTTGTTCAGGAGTAAATTCCAGCTGCAAAAAGACATAGAAAGCAAAGCGACTGAGGGATGCTGATCATTTGGGACATAGTACCGCAAACACATTGAATTCATTTAAGACGGTGACCTTGATGACCCTCCTACAGCAAGCCATTTTAGCAGGTCAAGTTACAGCCATCATCTGTTCTGATCAAAGTGCATTGTTTACTTGTGACCTTGAGGCTAAAACCCCCTTCTTACTAGATGTATGCTGTCTAACAGTGTCAGCGTCATTTGAGTTTATTTTTAGACGTAACCTGGAATCTTTGGTGCTGTCAGCTCCACGGGGAAGT